AAATAATTTAGTATATTGAAGTGCTTTTGTACGGTTATTGGTTAGGAAAATTCAAAAAATTAATTGTAAAATTAAAATTTCCATGTTTTTTTTATTGAGAATAAGTAAACTGTTAAAAGTTTGCTTGTTTATGGATATATTTTGATCAAACTTGACAAATTTATCTATTTTATATTAAGCAATAAATATTTTACTTAAAAAACACTTTATTACCCTCCCCGTAGCAGCAAACCTAGGTAATTGTTAAAAATAATACTATTTAAATAGATATAATTGAAAATCATATCAGTGAAATTCAAATTCACTTGGTCTGCAGGGTTGCGGTGGCGGGGGTATTTGTCTATGATTTGAGTTGGCAAGAGCCGTGAGATACGGATAGAATGTAATCTTGTATCAGTGTTTCTTTTGAAAGTGCGTCTCGTGTATAAATGAACTTGTCTGTATAGTGTAGGAAGAACCAGCTAAAATGTCAATACAGGACTACATCAGTAATTTTAAACACTGCACGTAGAGGCATCAGCGATGTAGTTGGTAGTTGGAACATTATGGTATCCACACCAGGTTTCATCATAGTTCATATATTATGTGATGCATATACAGATATACAGCATTACAGTATAACATATAGGCCTAGTATATATTATTCTTTGTCTTTGGCAGTACAGTTTTAATGAGTACAACAGGTGCCGGGCAGGTGACTCCCGCATATGCCGCGGTTAGCAGTTGCTTGTCCTGGACTCACCTGCTGTCAGGTGTGGCCAATTGCAGGATATGTTTCTTAATATACGACTGTTGTCGACCCCATCGATGTATAATACCAAGAGAGTATTGTTTAATCTATGATAATACTCTCGACACACACTTATAGTACTGTGTGACCAACACTCTGTAAAACTGTGTTTGTCCTTAGAATTTGCGTTGCGAATTCCTCCTAGTTTATTGCTGGAAGTTACATTGAAGCGATACTGTCTTTTCTTTTCTGTTTTGTTTTGTTATAGATCAGTAAACTTTGTTCAACCATAAGATTGAAGAGTAAAATGTATACAAACTGCATAACACTTTGCAATAGTTATTTGTGTAACTAGTGGGCGAAGTCACTCGCGTAACACATTATATTTTTCCTACAGTTACCATAAAGCACATTTATAGTGATAATATCAGGACAAAAACATGTATACTCTTAAGAAATTAATTTATAACTTTTGAACTATTGTATATAAAATTATAATCTAATCTATTATCTATTATCTTATGGGCATGCACTATTGCATGCAGTATAACTATTTGCATGTTGGCTCCAGTATGTTTTAAGCATTTTTGCTCAGATAACGATAAAAAATAAGATTTTAGTCGTGTTTTTGTAATACTTACATTCAGCTATTAACTCACATAGTACGTTAGTTCGGCGAACGCATTTTTATATCAGATATATAGGGAAGTGTTTTACATGACTAAATAATAACCACGTTGTCTTGGATATGTATGTATCACAATTAAACATACATGCATATATTTATAGTAAATGGTGTTACCTTGACATGTTCAAGTTTCAGAAATTACAACTCGCAGCGATGAGTTACGGAATAAAACTCAACCTAACGAAAATCACATGTTGATTGTTCATAGAAAGCGGAATAATTGGATAATACAGAAAATTCTGTTGGTGTACCTAACGTAAACTGTTACGGTAGCATTTGTACGAGTTAAAGCTTGGAAATGCTTGAAATATATGTTCCTAGTTTGAAATAAATTTAAATTTTCAGAGACAATACAGCATAGAGTGGAAGTAGTGTCATTATAGCTAACAATCTAGACCGCAAATTTTAAGAGCATTCCGTAGCAATCAGTTGATTCTCCGGTTTAAAAGACATAGCCAATTTATCATTCGTGACCAGTAAAGATACAAAAAATGTTAGTGGTACAGTAATTGCCATGGCCAGGTCACGATTATATTTGACCTCGGCGGCGGCGGCGCGTAGGTTCACGTGGGGGCGAGCAGTACCGAGCAATTGAGAGGGCAATTGGACTACAAAAACCTCCCCCCCCCCCCCCGACCATTGCTAGCCATTACCATGCGGGAATCATGAATGAGCGCTCGGCTGCGCTCGGTTGATTCGTAAGGCAAGGATATCCGTTCATTCATACTTCACAGCTTCGACCTCCGCTCCTCGAGGTGCTTCACAATAGTGTACTGTACTGCGTTTACAACATCTTTGGGACATTCGTCATATACCATATACCTGTAAAGCTGTTGAATGTTATACATACAGTATACACTAAATGAGTAAATTTAGTATCACTGATCTAGTTTTTTTAGAGTCGGCTCTAAGGATTTCATTAAATGAAGGATTTAACCACTGACTCTTTGATACTGACCACCGAAGATCTTTCCCTGATGAAAACTCAGTCCCTTGGTGTTAAAGGAAATAACCGGATTTGCAAGTAGCCTAACCATTGCACCCGCACCAGCTATAAAAATACAGGGTTTTTTGACAAGTATTTTATTTACAATCTGTTCTATACTGAAAAAATAAGTAAATGCCATGACAATTTAACATGAGTTAATTACACAGCGAGTGCACTGACATACAAAACATTTTATAAAAAAAATAAACTAGAAACGATTTGGAAGATCGATTGGAAGTATTCTTCTGAGCCTATAAGTAGCTTCACTATTATCGAGGAGGTTGACTACCAGGAAATTTGGATGATTTTATAATTTTCTTTGATATTTTTCGCTTCGTTTCTTGATTTCTTCTCTGATAAAAGACAATTTTGTATCTTGATGAATAACTTTATTAGATACATACCAAGGTGCTTGTTAAACCTTTCTTAGTGTTTTGGATTGAAGCGTTGTTGTATGCCTAACGGTTACGGAGATAATAAAAAAACAACTTTAAATTTAAAATTCACATGCTATTCTTATAGAGAATAAATAAACTGTTGTAGTTTGCTTGTTTATGTATATATTTTGATCAAAGGTGGCCAAATAATAGTAGAATCCTGAACTGAAGATCCTCTTCCTACGCCCATCGCACTTGTGCCACTGTAAATTAAAATTAAAAATAATTTCTTAGCATTATATCTAACCCCTTCTATTCTCTTGTGCACATACCTACTAACCAATGCAAAGGGGTGTTTCATGTTAGCCAATATAGAGTATGTTTATGTATTGGATGTGTTACATAGGCTAAACCACTTCCATTAGTTCAACATAAAATGTAATCCGAACGAATAACTCATGGAAATATGTAGATTGCAAAATAGGCCACCCGACGATAATTCACGGTTAGGCCTACTTATCTATTCTTTATTTTACTAACTATTCATGCTCACAGCAATTCTTAACTAGAAAAACGTGGATCTTTAGAGTCATTGTATGATATATATACGCAGATAGATTTAGTTTATATATTTTAAATAGCGTTAAATGTACATGCCTTTGAAATTTTAACGTTGTGGTTTTCTGTGAGGGACGGTGCAATCCAAACTCTGGTTTTGTTACTCTCATCGACCTTTTGTTAGATAGCTTCATTAATTGATAGCCGCATGACATTTTAATCTACCATTTTAGGAAACTATACAGTAATCTTTATATAGTAGGCCTAGAATTAGTTTGTTCTTAAGTAAGATAACCTCTATGACTAATTTTGTTGTTGTTATGGTAGTTACCGTAATCATCGTGTTATCTCAAATTCCCTTGTCCTCACCTTCCCGGACACGTTATATTCTTATACGCACTATCATGAATAACCTGTATATTCTTTTCACAATCGATCATGTCTGTGCATTGGCAATATTACTGTATCATGGCTCTTGCTTTTCTCGCTCACGGCCACTCAATAATTTTAAAAACATGGATTTTATTGACTAGGCTACAGTAAACACTAGCTGAATTTTGTTTTACCTTCGGACTTTGGAGCTACTACATTTTACCATTACTACAACATTCTACGTGATTCTACCATTATGATAAGAATGCTGATGTATAACATTACTAAATTATTGTCATCTGAGAATATATGGATAATTATTGCCACTAGCTGTTACCCACGGGCTTCACCTCGTTTGACATATTAATAAGTTTTAATAAAACTATTTATTTGTTAATTTAAGTTGAAATAAACAAAACAGAATAAAGTAAAACATGACGTGATTTAGTCATGCGAACGAGCTCATCTTGAAAATGAACGAGCATTTAACATAAAAACCACATGAGGACAGGACGACGTCTGTCGCGCCAGCTAGTAAGGTAATAAATTAAAAGAATAACAAACAAATAAGTACAGCTGAGGTATTTTTAACATTAGGTATATGTAAAGTTCCCTTTAGAAAGGAATTATGCCCTTAAAGGGGAATTTATGAAATAATGGATAGTTTTGCGCAAGGTTTCTCGTCATGACGAACATTTCAACTATATGGTTTATGGGGTGTGACTTTTAGTTTTCTCAAAAGTTCATGCGTACTTTGGGATTTATATGTGGATATCCTAACGCAGTACAATACCGCAAATAATCGTTGTATCATTTAGAATCAATGTTCGTGCACTTCTAGGCTATATAATGTTTATTGACCAAACACTTTATTTAGTTGGATCATCAATGGTTCTGTACCAACCAAAATCCAAATTTCAATTTAATTTACCGATTCCTTTTTTTCTTAAAATTCAATTTGACGAGCTCTTGTTCTTGTGATAGAGCTTTTATTCCTCCTACTTGCTTGTCCATATTTTAGTTTCGTTTATCATGTTTATCACAGTTTTGTGTAGACAAAGTATAAAGTATGTAATAAGGTGAAATAGTTCTCTGTCTACACCTGTCCCTTTATTTAAAAATATTCAATGGAATTCTTTTCAATCGCAATTAAACAGAGGAGTGACAATGGTAGTCGGAGGGGTGGTGCCAGCTGTGCTGTTGTGTGTGAGGTGGTGGTGGTGGGAGATAGACGTGCCCCTGCCCCAGCCCCACGTCAGTGTCAGTCAGTCTCAGTCTCAGTCGCTCGCTGGACGTCGTCGTTAGTGGTCGTGCCGTGTACAATATTGTAGTGTCGTGTGTGGTGTGTGCCCATGGGGTTCAACAGCGCAGCCCCCCAACAACAACAACCACAGAGGTGTCATTGCGCTGTCGACGACATCTTAGCGCCTCTCCGTAGCAAGATGAAGGTGCTCAAGAAGATCAAACGCAGAATCGGACTCAGTATGTAGCCTTTTTCATGATTTGACAAGCTAATTATTGTTAGCGTAGTTAGAATTTTTAAGTATTTATTTCAGGTACGGTACCATTTCCAAAAAAATCATGAAGTTAAAAACAGAATTGAGATTTTGCTATTTTAAGGGACTATATAAAGCACCGAAGTTTTTTTACAGTTAACATACATTATGAAGTTTTAAAATGGTGTTGTTAAAGTGAAACCGATCTGATTGCGTTTTTAAAATGTGTAAGATCTAGCTGGACAGTATAGCTTTTTGTTGCTTGTAAAATGTTAAGTTTGCTCATGCCAACTAATGTTTCCTCATATAATGTACAAAATTATTTCAACCAATTAATTTGATTCATTCTCTTAGTGGGTGATGTTTTATAATCTGGCTCCAAGTCCAAGTAAACTATGATTTCACAGCTGATAGTGTTCCACACTAATGGATTATGAAAATGAGATTCGGTGATATTGCTAATGCTAATATTCATATTAAGCGGCGGCATCGTGCAATGAGAGTACAGTATTACAATAACACAATTTCTTGTCGATAACTGGTACAATATAGTGTATTAGTTGTGGTTATGGAAGTAGGCCTACGGTTGTCGTTGTAGAAGTGTTAAGGATAAACAGTGTGGTCCATCGTCCATCGTGGAGGTGTACTTAGTGTAATGTAATATGATGCATATAGCAAGACGGACAGACATGTAGACTGGGCGACTCCACTGTCGAGATAAGGTTAGGTTACTATCGCTATCAGGCCTCAGCAACAAACCAAACAAACATGTACATTGTACAACCCTGAACCCAGAGACCTACGGTGTCCGTCGTCGTCACTGTGGTTTAGACCATGTTGCACGGAAATAAAGCTGTAGGCCTATATACACATACAGTACTGCCTTCAATAAATACTGCTGTAGTTAAGTTATTTCTAACCTAGATAGAGTGAAAAACAAAACAGTCTTGTGAAAGAATCCAGGTTAAAATTAGGCAAGGTCAATTGTACTTCTACAGTATAATAGTTTCGTTGAGATTAAAGCTGTTGGAACTTTGATAGAAATTAAAAAGTTTACTTATCCATTCCGTGATGTTATGTATTGTTTTATCAATTTGTAGAACGAGTTGACTGACAATTCTAAAAAGCCAAATTTATAGTTTAGGGTACAAGCATTGACTATACATTCGTATATAGTCAATGGTACAAGTAAAAGATTGCGTACGGTTGAAACTTTCGTTCTTTTGATTCTATTGGCAAAAATCGATCGTATAGTGTTTAAGGGGAGCTTTGCAGCTGCCTGAGGGTACAGACAAAAGGATGCCGTTACCAATGGGAAGGTGGTGGGGGGAAGGGAGGTTACGCAAAGGTTGAGAACTAGCCAAGCCGCGGTGATAAGCATGGGAACGGAGATGTGCACGATTTAGAAAGTCGTCCTGTCCCATATAACAATACAATGGTAGACGGCACGCCACGCACTGCGAGGCACCCGTACATTGTAGCATCGATCTTGCAGCAAGGACACTCGCTGTACGATATTGTACTGATATCCGCCATCGCGACTGAATTAACATAACATGTGTGGCTCTTTTGCCAAATATGACTGTTGTCGTTTGGATGCCTGAATTACAGTCGTATTGATGGCAAAGACCAGATAGGAGTAGACTTAAATGTCAATTACTTTATTGAATCTGTGATAAAATGTTTTCATTAAGACAGGACATGTCATAGTTGCTGAAAGTAGATGTAGTATCGTGACTGTCGCATCGCGTGACGTGATCGCCATTGCTCACCTATATTTAGCAAGATACATTGCACAAAGTTGCCTCTTGAGCGGCGAACATGACTCAAAACATTAGAGGCATTAGTTTGCAGTGTCGCGTGTAATCCTCCTAGGTCGCGTGGCGTGGTCAGCTTGAAGCAAGATGCATGGCATAAAGTTGCATCTTCGCACGGATCCGTGCTCATTGTGCACATGCTTTTGTTTCGTTCGACCCATACAATATTGACTCGTATCGTATTGCACTTAACTTAATTGGTTACGCCGGTAGACTTCCTGTTAATGTTACTTGACGTATATTGCACAAAAGAAACACTCGTTAAAATGTATCAAAATAGAGGTACCTACAGTATTGTTACCTATCTGCTAATTTTTGCGTTTTTCATCCTTTGTGGTCACTTAAAATTTATCAAGAAATCGTTGTTTGTAACAGCAAGAATTGTAAGCCACATTTTAGCGGTTCCTCCCATTCACTGTAGAGCAATTTCATACAAACAGCGCCAACAGCGGTGTTGTCCGTCGCTCTCCTGCGGCGGACACGCTGTAGGCTGCCGTGGGAACGGTGCTTCCAATTACGGCAATTCTATGAATTGAAGTATCCGGCGGCTCGGCGCCCACCCTTAACTTCTAATTAGCCTCAAAGTCTCGCCGTTCATATACCAACATGTATAATAACCGGTGAACACGGGTTTTGTATGTGGTTTATTCGTGGGTAAAATTGCTGGTTTCGTCACTACAGGAAAATTAATCTATTTATACATACACCATTTTCCGTCATAGCTCCGACTCGTTCTTGGACTGACTGATCACAGCTTTATAGAGTCTGAAAATCGAACCCCGGTCATCCACTACAAGGACGAGGCAGAGCTGCGATAAATAATGTGGTAATAGCTCTGGCGACCAATCGCAATTAATTAATAAATGTTACTACGTTCACTTGCTTTGACTTACTGCCTACTGCCCTACTGAACGTACTGTAGGCCTACACGTACTGTATCGGACGTAATATGCCAGGTATTGATTGTAGTGTAGTGTTAAGAGTGTAGGGATTGTGCTAGGTAGATGTGACACGTGACGATTATTTAGCCTCACGTGACCAAGTAGGCCAAGTTGAGGCTCAGCTAAAACTACGTAATGATTCAGTTCCACTCCTACACACTCGTCTTGCTGAATCTCACTTCCGGTTCCGGCGATAACTGCTCAAACGGCTTGCTCGCCAAGTCCCACCATCATATCCATCACGTAACTTTAATGTGCATGATTATAATAAAATAAGCACGGATGATAGATAACAACTGTTTTGTTTCAGTCTTTTCAGGAACAATTCCGGTTAACAAAACAACTCATGTTAATTTATAACCAACCTAGTTTATTTATAATCTAGTTAACAATAGGCCTATAACATTACAGGTAATCGTTGAAATACGGTACAGGATACTGACAGCTCTCTGCAACCTTAACACTAGTGACCTTTCGGCAACGCGCTTTTGGTTAATTGTTTCCTATCATGCAACAAGATGCTTTAAAAATGTTCGATTTACACTAATTCTACACTCCACGAGTTATCAATTGCCGAGGCAATATAGTCGCCTCGGTAAACCGGATGATAATGCGTAATGCTGGTTATTGTATCCTTCCTTCACCATCAGTTTGGTGATGTAATTTGCTGTTTCTCAACGTCCGTCCTAGACTTGGATGTAGTGAAGTACAGTATTATGATATCAAAGTCATTTCACTCCCAATTAGGAACATTCCTACCTAGCTAATTACGCAACTGTACGATATTGTTGTTACTTTAGATTCTTCGTCCATCCAACGGTAACAACTAGTATCATTGCGCTATATTACGCCGATGATGCCGTACACTGAGGTACGCTTTGTCGGGTAGTGTGTAGTGTGTAGTGTGAAGGGGCGGAGGAGGGGCCAAGCCAGAAGCCGCTGGTCTTTGTCTGTGACAAGTCATTTCTGTCAAGTTCACGGTTCATTGTCTCGTCAACTGGCTTCCTGTCCACGACCACTGGTCAATCTCAGCTACTCAGGGCTGTGGCTAATTGTGACACACGAGACTGTTATGGCCTATTGCGATGGAATAAATTTTACTGTTCCGACCATTACAGCAACCAAAATAATTTCTTTGTTAACTACGGTATACAGCTAATTTTGAAATAAATTTTCAAATTCAAATGGACGTCTAAAGTAATTCACATTCCTCTCGACGATCCAGTGATTCAGAGAGTTTTCCCCAATGAAGTTATTCGAGGAATTCATTCAGCGCAGTTAGTTTTGATTTGATCCTATTTATAGGTTTACAATTTACTTCATTGTGGCGTATTTACAATAAAAAGTAGATGACGAAACAGAAAGCTGTGTATATACGATGACCCTTGGCTCTTCTACGCAACAGATGATCAGTCAAGTTATTTACTAAGCCATTTTCTAATTCAATTCCGAAAAACTTAATCCGCCTCTCTAATACTTGGAAGACGCCCGCGTGTGCGCCTCATAACCAGAGCAGAGACAGTGACTCACTGCGACTGCGGCGCGGCTGTTCGTTCGCTGTTGTGGTGGTGGCGGGAAGTTCCCTTGAGCCCGCGGCCTCGCTCGACGCTCGTTGTTTCCGCGTCTCGCGTCGCTTCACTGCGTCTACGTCAGTCGCAGCGCCGTACCGCGAGTATGGTCGTCGCGTTTAGATACCCGTCCCTACTGCATGCTAGTAAGTTTCAACTCGGCAACTTTCTTAATTTGATCCCATAGTTTAAAATTTGTCGTTTCTATTTTTTCACATGTATTTTTATCCAAATTAGGGCTGTAACAACAAAATATTACTGATAAACATTGCCTATTTTATAAACTTGACTTAGTCTAATGATTTCAAAAAATATTTCTCAACTTTTGCCTAACTATAAATATTATCAGTGTTCAGCCTTAATTTTTTTACTGAGCTCAGGTATGGTTTAATTTGACTTCAGGCAGATTTAGACACCCCAATGTTAAAGTTGTAGGCTATTAAAAAATCAATTGAGCGACAGACCGTGCTGATGTCAATCACTGATTTGTGTCTATTATGTTTTTATGTCAATATTTCAACCAAACCACGGAAATCATCTTATACATGTCACCAAACTATCCTAGTATCAAGAAGTAAAATGGAGTAGTGTTGGAGAAAATATAATTTAATCTACAGTAATAAAACTCTATGAGTGGCTCATTTAACTTTTTTTAAGAAATGGCTACATTTAGTCTAAATGGGAGGTATGTCTTCTCCAGCTCTAGCATCCAAAAGTGGATTAATTTACAGTATTCCAGTGTGATTGTCCTAACGCATCTATGTGTTTGCAGCGCCTCGCAATTCGTCCAGCAGTGCAGGCACCAACAATCTGCCTCCCCTGCTGTTCCACCAAGTACATGGAGACAACATCCGACTGTCCCGTGATGGAGCTGTGGCTCGCAGAGCTGAGAGTTTCTGCAAGGGAGTCACATTCACTAACCGACCAGTCAAGATCTCTGAGAAGGTAATCACAATTATATGTTGTGCTTTGAAATTAATAAGTCAACAACTGTCAAGTCATATACAGAACGATAGATAAATTTGTTTGTTCACCTTGACACTATCACTACTCCAGTTTATAGTGCATTAAGTCAGTGCATTCAAGTTCTCTTTACCTCTGCCACAGACAAAATGTGTTGTCCATTGTCTGTGCTTCTGCACAATTCTTTATAAAGGGTGCACCAAAAAAACCTGACGGTTTCTGTTTTGTAATAAGTCAGCTGTTATACTAGCTAGAGACCTCATTGTTGTAGTGACCGATTGCTTATTTTATGCAATTTTTAGGTTATGTTTGGTAAAACATCACTTCCTCGAAAGAAAGTTACTGTCTAGTGTTGTGTGGCACTGTTTGGAGTCATCTGACTATATGTTTTTGAGGACGAAAGTGGGAACACCCCCTGTCACTGTAAACTCGGAACGCTATGTGGAAATACTGAGGGATTTTTTGGTTCCAACCAACTGGGAACCAACTGGGAACAACTGGGAATGTTAGGAGGGATATACATGACCAACACATGGTTTCAACAGGACGACGCAATTGTCATACATCCAATTATTCAATTTTGCGTGAACTCTTTCCCGGTAAAGGGATCTCTTGGTTTGGTGATGTGCTGTGATCAGCTCGATCCCCAGACTTAATTTCGTGTGACTGTTGGCTATGGGGATACTTAAAAAACAAAGTGTTTGTCTCGAAATTTTGAACCATCCCTAAACTCAAGCAGTGTATCCGGGATGACATTGCTTCTATTCATCAGGCGAAGGTGACTGTAAATATGAAACAAAAAATGGGAAGGATGTTTAGGAGAAGGTCCCACCTAAGAGATATAATTGTTCATAAATGAAAATGGCATAGTAGTGTGTACAATATAATATTATTTAATACATAAGATTGTATTTTGTTCTTGAGTTATTTAGTATTATAAACCGTCAGGTTATTTTAGCGCACCCTGTACTATTACTAGATGGATAGGCTTATTTTTTACTCTTGTATACTTTTTCAGATTGAAAATATATAATTAATTAATTATTTAAATTTTTGTGGTGTTAAACGTTAAACATTGTGTTAAACTCAGAAAGGAAGTTGAATAATACTAGTATAATCATTACTTTTATCTTGAAACAAACTTGTAATGTTTATGAAAACCAAACAAGAACAATATTGTAAGTTTTACTTGCTATTTGACTTAAATATACATCCTACAATATGTCTTCGTTTAGGCACATCAAACTACTCAATAGTAATGAACGAAGTCTTAACGATAACCATAATTGAAAATAATATATATTAAATAAATTTCTGTGTAACTATAGGTCATGCATGGTATGTTTCAGGTGTATGTAAAGTTCCTAGATGTATCCAACAATTGGAGTGGAGTTATCAGATTCGGCTTCACATCCAATGATCCCAGTAATCTACGACATGCTCTTCCAAAGTATGCCTGTCCAGGTTAGTCTCATTATTATCAAACTTTTTCTCAAGATTATTCAAAATACTTACTTTGAATTACTAATCAATCTGTGAATTACTATTACGGTTCCACTGGAATCACTTTACCAATTATGATAACAATTAAGTAGCAAAACTGATGTAGATTGTCAAAATGAATAAATCAGTTTTAAACATATCATTTGGTTTTTAATAATGCCTGATTGTGTTCTAGATTTAACCAACAAGGCGGGCTACTGGGCCAAAGCTCTAGCAGAGAGGTTCTGTGAGAGAGACACAGTCCTGTTCTACTATGTTACCCATGCTGGTGATGTGCACTTCGGCATCAATGGAGAAGAGAAAGGAATCTTCTTCAGTGGTGTGGAGACCCGAGGCCAGCTATGGGCCATGATAGATGTGTATGGCAACTCTACAGCAATAGAACTACTGGACGCCAGACATCAGCTCAACAATAGTAGAAGGTACTGCTCTTTCCTTGTCATTGCAATCATTAACTTTTGACATGAATTTTTGTTAATTCAAACATTTATGGATCATGTGATTTTCATGATTAGCAAATGTAAGAATAGAAGAAGTAGCAGTAAATATATATTTCAGAAGGAACCCCTCCAATATACCCATATAGTATTGTAATACTACTATGTTACCACTAACCAAATAACAGTTTTTATTTTGGTCCTAATGATTTAATAGATGTATCTTATGTTACAGAAATCCAGCTGTAAGCAACGGTGAAATGAGCCCGGATGTAGACAGGCTCATAATGCCGTCGATGGCTGCTCTCAGCATACAAAACAGTCCAAGGATTGAAGATGTGTCAGAGCAAGTTCCTCCGCCTCCTCGCTTCCAGCAGCCCGGCGTCCACTTCACACCACTGCCTTTCCACAGGACTCGGGGCCGCAACGTGAGACTCAGCAACAATTGCTGCATAGCCAGTAGGACAGACACGGAGTTCTGCCAAGGATATGTCTTCACTGCACGGCCGATACAACTTGGCGAGCGTATTGTCATCCAGATCCTAGCTACAGAGCCAATGTACCTGGGGGCTCTAGCCTTGGGACTGACCAGCTGTGACCCCACGACACTCAACCCTCTAGACCTGCCAGACGACAGTGACCTCCTGTTGGACAGACCAGAGTACTGGGTGGTCAGCAAGGATGTGGCCAACTGTCCACAGAGAGGAGATGAACTGGCTTTCTGCATAACTCATCAGGGTAAGTAATTTACTATCTGCACACAGACTTTACAGTCAGCAATTATAGTTTGATTGTGATAGTAAGCATTACAGCTAAAAACTCCATCCCGCTGTAAATAAAGCTAAGCTATGAAAAATGCCACAAACTTGAATCTCCAGATGAATGTTTGTGATAAACCACTATAGACCAATGTTTACTAACATGTAGAATCGGTTTAGGCAAAATAAGGACGATTCACGGCTGTCAAAAAATGTTATCAATTACAAAAAGTTATTGACATTATTTAAGTTTGGCCAAGTTTGGTAGCTATTTGCCATCTTGCTTTAAAGTTTAAATATGCTGTATGACTTGTTAAAATTATTTCAACGCCTTTTTCTCCTGTTCTTGTCATATTAGATCTTACAAACATAGCTAGGCCTCATTTGATTAGTACATTAATAGTATATAAAATTTCATAACAAGATTAGAAAGTGAGTCATTACATATTTGAGAACATATGTTTAAAGTTAAAGATTGATCAAACACTTTAAATGGGGTCGAGAATATATAATGACCCACTTTCGCTTCTGTTTTGAACGTTAATTTTCAAATAAAAGTAGGCATTGGAATATTTCTTTATTCCAGTTGAGAACATTTAAATCTGATTAAGGATTTTTTGGGATTTAATGCCTTCTATTACAAATTTTCATTGATTATACAGTTTTGGCTGTTGCAAATTGAAACAGTTGATGAAACAATAACAAATGTTTGTTTATGTTAGCAAAATCCAAAAAATAGTGAACATTACTTTTGAATAGTAATGTAGTGATGAATTTTGGCAGGTGATAAGCGTATAACAATACCCCCGCAGCAGCAAACCTGCAGACGAATTTCCATTTACCAGTATTGGATTTTAGTGGCTTGTAGGGACAGAAGTCCCTAAAAATCTCAAATGTAATGTAAAACAAATTATTGTAGACCTAATATTTAAACAAATTAAGAATTAATTTATCAATTTGTCAGGATAGATATCCCTGTACACCATATCCTTTGACACAATATTCTCTTTGTTTGTCTTGGTTTTTGGTATTAATTTTCAATAAAAAATTTAATTAACTCCTTCCACAGTTTTAAATCTGCTCAAGGCAACAAATGTGTAAGAACCCCATAACCAACATTTTTTTGCAGTTGTGTGATTTCTGCACCAAACAATTTGTTAAAAATGTGTGTATAGGCCAACTAAAAAGTCAAAATTGGGAAAAAAATTTGGTTATGGAGTTTCTGCAATAAACGATTCAACTATTTGTGAGTGAATATACTGTTTCCTATTAAAATACTGTTACTAACTGTAAAAAAATCCTAAATACTTTGGCACTATGGTTCCGTAGCCCAGTTGTCAAAGTGAATCGCCAAATTCCTTTTCTTTGGCATTGACACACTTATTTTAGTTAGTTTAAGAAACACAAAGAAACGGAATCTATTTCCAGATTTTACTGTTTTGCTCCCTTTACTATATTTATATTTATATACTATGCATGCTATGTTTTATTATTTGAACCTTTTTTGCTTGGAACAACCAAAATTCCAAAATTATTTTATATTTAAGGCAGTAAATGATTAAAATCTCCCTCAAACAATATTATTTTTCCGCCCTGTCCTTAACCGCCCCCTATGCTGTGCACCATTCCCAATAACTCTCCTTCGTGGTCGTGTTATTCCCCTAACTTGATACATTTCAACACTGCATTACCATTCTAACCAAAAAACAAAACAAAACACTAAAACTAATAAACAAACAAATATGCAATGTTTACATCAGCTGTCATATTTAACCCTCCCAGTGTTACTTGACGAAAATTCGGCAAGCACCACACTTTGTATAGTGTTACTTGCCGATTTTTCGACAAGCAGACATCGTTTACGGCGAAGGCTCTATAACTGACTGAATCGGATTGAACTGGATCGAGTTAGGTATCGTTCTTTCCGTTACATTCTAAGCTGTCTCCAGATGACTGTCTCTAAGCGCTATTCATTTTAGTTCTGAAAATATTGTAGCAGACAGCTGACGTGCGTGTATTTGTAAACAGCTAGGTTCCCCCGGACCGATGACTGATGTGTTTTATTACGTTTATCATTGTTTTAGTGTTAAAAATCAAAAGTAGTGATATACGTGGTGCATTATAAGAAGATTTAAGTGGTTTTGAAGTGCTGGTTGATGATCCTGAAGAAGTAGGTAGTGATATTGATGTAAATTATCAGCCAGATTCCTAGCTATGGTTAGGCTATGCATTCTTAGCTAAACGCTATGTACTGAAATCAGTTTTTTGCCCATAACTTATTTATTTGCAAATATACTTCCTTATATTATTATATATTTGTAATCCTCATAAAATTTAGAACAAAGTGGCTATTTTCAAATATTTATAGGCCTATAATTTATACAATTTCATTAGGCGCGAACTTATTTTTTTTTTGAAAATTTTCGAAATTATATTTTTTTTACCTAAAAAATTTTTTTTTTTGAAAAAATGTTCCTTATGTTTTATATATAATATTGAAGCCCATGATTTTCCAAACAAAATGGTATATAGAACATTAGAATTAACATTGTTTTAAGCTTCTCAGATCCGTTTTAATAAAACCTTGCAAATGCGCCAAAAATAGGTGGACATTAAGGCCTAAACTATGGACACTTGGAGGGTTAAAACAGCTTATAGAAACACTGTAGCAGTACTTCCATGAGAAAATAACTGTATCTTTGACGGCCTGTGGGGCAGAGCACGGGTAATTTTTGACACTTATGATATTTTCCCCACCATCCTTGGACCTTAAGCTTAAAAATGAATCCTCAACAGCCATGCTACCTTTTTCCTAGCTCGAGATATTTCGTGGGGACCGATTAGCTTACGGAATTATAGAAATATTTAAATAACATTAGATTTAACAAGTACCTAGGTTTGCTGCTACAGGGAGAGTATATAATAAGGTGTGTTTTTTAGTAAAATATAAATAGGTAGCTTATAAAATAAATAAATTTACCAAGTTTGATAAAAATATATCCATAAACAAGCAAACTACAACCAGTTTACTTATTCTCCATAAGAATAACTTGGGCATTTTAAATTTACAATTTATTCAATTTTCTACTTAGCCAAATACTACACAAAAACACTCCAATATATTAAATTATTTGTTTATTTAAGCTCTTTGAAATGGTGTACAGAGAAATTTGGGAAATTTTATGTTTTGAGTGTCAAAAGATAAAAAAACCAATTTTTACCCCATAAACCCGTTCCCATAGTCCGATCATGCTGGTTTGCGAACTCATTCAAGTTTATCCCGCCCTACACCTTCAAGCCAAATTAAAAAAAATTTGAGAAAAATTATTCAAGTTGTCATGTTTGCGGACGTATACATTCAGTATATATAAAGATTTGAACGAATAGTGTTTGTGGCCTCTAGGGACATAAAAAGAAAAAGTATATCGGTTCTGGGCCTAGGTCTTACCGTGCCACCTATGGTAATAGCTACTTCCCTATAGAGAAATTTGCTAAATATAGGTGAAAACAGATATTTATTTGTTAAGTTACAACTAATAATGTTTTAATGTTTTACAGGTGAAGTGCAGATGAGTAAAAACGGATGTACCCCGACTGTTCTGATGCATGTTGATCAATCTCTGACACTCTGGGCCTTCTTTGATGTCTACGGATCTACTCAGAAAATTAGGGTCCTAGGAAGCTCCATAATTGAACACCCCCGGCCAGGTGAGATTTACATCTAGCCTACTTGTACAAGCCTCTTCATGTTTTTATCATTCTCATAAAGATTTGTTTTTTCTGTTGTCATACTCTCTAACAAGAAGGTAAAATGTTCTCTCTTTTTTATGAATCCCAAAACAAAATTATTGTTTTTAAATTATTTATATTGTTGGGTTTTTTAAAAATCATTCTCCTTCTGCTTATTATTATTATTGAAAACAAATATTTTGTATAGATTTTTTATATAGAGTATTTGTGGTGTGAGAGAACTTGTCTTTATGAATACTGTATATAATGATTTAAAATTGTGAGTTTTTTTCATCTTAACACCTATACAAATATTTAGATGCTAGACCTAAGTGTTAACAACATTTTTTTTTAATAACGTGCAAACAAATTAGCATGAACCTTTTGTTGAAGTGTTTTTATTCATGTATAAGTTAGTTGATTTATACGGTGTGTTTATGTTTCAGTGTGCACATCACCAGGCCCAGCCCCAGTGGTGGCCTCCAGCAGTAGAGGTAGTGGTGGGGCACTGAGAGTGGCACTGCCAGAGCCGCAGGTGGTACAGCTAGCGGGGGGTGTAGGTGGAGGCACTGTATTGGTGGTCAATCTGCCTCCCTCCACCCCTACACCTCCTCACCCTCACAACCCTTCAGCAACTCTGCTATCTACCTACAGCCACACTTACATTGAGGTGAGAAGAGTGTCCTGTATAATATTTTAATGAATTTCAGTCTCGATTATCGGTCCTTTTTAGTTTTCTGACCCTCCCTGTGGACAATCAAACACTTAAAGTTGCGTGCTACACCACATATGGCATGACTGTACACCACAAACGGGTACATCACAACAATTCCTATTGCCGCCCTGTCATCAGAGCATATGCGTCAGGCTTTAGAATAGTTTTTTGTGAGTTTTAGCTTTTTGCATTCTATATTGATTGTAGTAGGGGATTGGATCTGTGGCTGAAAGAATGAGTAGCCTATCACTTCATGTTATTTTTTCCAACTACACTTCTATAACTCATTGAAACCTTTATTAGGTAATACATAATGAAAAATACAATATTTAGAAAAGGTTTTTGATCACACGCGATATAAATTTGTAGAAAACACACAAAATAGTAGAATAACTACTAATAATTTTAAGCTGTTTGAGCAGTTTGGTTGGTAAGGTTAGGTTAGGTTAGATAACACTGCTCTAACCCAACCAAACTTCTCGAACAGCTTAAAATTAGTTTTTTGAGTACCGGTAACCGATCTAATTCGGTATCTCATTGTTGCAACAAAGACAACGTGATTTGTTACCGCGGGCCGCTGCTGGACGCTACAGCGAACCTTTATCTCTCCCAGTCAGATAAGATTATAAGACAGACAACAATGCCGTCGTAAATACCTGGAAATGATTGCATTCTACTAAACAAAGTACTCTTTCATTGAAAAACTACTTTTTGTACAGAAATGTTCTAACAAGTTTAGGAGTTGTGGGCACGTAACAGATTTTGACCTAACTTTTTTGTAGTGAATTTCCCTACAGGGAAAGGCTATTACTGTAGGTGGCACAGCAAGACCTATTTTCTTTACCGATTGGTTCAAAATACAGTTTAGTTATGATATTATAACTTGAAATGTATTCAAATAATTGTTTTAATTCAAATATTGTTGATTGCAGCCAGTGTCGCAGTCCTACTCTACGTTAGACTCTCCTAGCATGAGGGAGTGGGTGGAGACGAGTGTGACAGCTCCATCGGGCTCAGAGTGTTCCATCTGCTACGAGCGCACTATCGACTCTGTGCTGTACATGTGTGGCCACATGTGCATGTGCTACGACTGTGCAGTGCAGCAGTGGCGAGGAAAGGGTGGTGGCCATTGTCCTCTGTGTCGGGCTGTCATACGCGACGTCATCCGTACTTACAAGTCCTGATAACCAACTGACCATCACACTCGTCACTCTGTACAAAAAATACATTAAGCGCATTTATAGCCTAATATGTTACTCTACGGGAATGTACTGTACGAGAGTCCTAATTAGCAAGACTGTTAATCTCGTGAGACTATGTCTTTTCGAAGCTCATTATGATTTAATTTCTTCTGGCCTAAGATGTGCGTTTTATGGATATGATGCTTGCAGAGCAATAAGTGAATGAAATGTAGGCTTTATGTACTGCAGGTCAATTATGGTATATTAATGAGGTTTAGTTTTGTTTGTTTTTCATTATTGGAGAATCATATTGGCAGCACATTGCAATTGGAGAACATTGTAATGCTAAGACCTGATTTAACTTGAAGAATAGTTTTTTTTATTATGGCCAAAAAATTATGGCCTGACAAAATCAGATCAGCTAACAACTGAAATGGGTTATTGTTTGACATTATTTTGTGATATAGAAAGCCAGTTATACTTTGTTATTTTTCTATTTTGTTATGATTATAATTCCTAAAGTAGGTAAAGCAGGTGTGTGATTAAAGACGTTATTAGTTTATAATCAAGTGTTCAAAACTCGACCAAAACTATTTTAATGACACTTTTATTGGTTACCCTAAATTCAAAATAATATTGTCAAAAAACCTTTTTTCAAGCCATTTACATAAGTACAACATTGTTTGCTATAGTCTGTTATCTTAGTTCTGTGGATGATTGTGGAGCCTAGTCTCACAGTCCACAGTTTAACTGGTTAAAATATGTGGAAGCTGGCAAATAAAATTAATCATCCTGAATAAAAACTGAGAAATTAAAAGAATAATTGTTTTAACCTAAAAAAAGTCTAGTCACACACCTTCAATCGACATTATGCTGTTGCTCATTCAATTCTGCAATGGGCATTCCATTACTTTGTTAACACAGACTGTTTGTTTTGTAAGTTTTGTATTTATGTAAATTAGTGTAACTTTTGCATATGTTGAAACTTTATTATTGAAATGTGTACAGTGAAAAATATTCTTTACTTCTATCCTTTATTATTTATTATTATATATATGTATTCTAAGTAATAGTGAATCTCTAGTCATGGCATTATGGATATATTATAATAATTTTTATCTCTCAACCAAACATGTTTTTGTTTATACTTTGTAATAGTAACAGATTGAAAATTAATTGGCATCTCACATATTTGTGTAATTATTCTTGTTTAATCATATGTATTAATTTTCTATTCCTGTGTTCAATTGACAAGCTTGTTTTCTTGAAAATCTACTTTTGATGTAGACACAAAAATTTGACAAATTCATTTGACCAATGTTACTGTTACTATGTTTACAAACGATTTTCATTCCAAAGTGCAATATGTTTTTTTATCTTGTGCTACTAGAAACGAGGCTTATTAAAATTATCTCAAAAAATTATATACTTTATGCTCTGGACACGTTACTGTTTTAAGCTGTTTTTGTATGTCTGCAGTAAAAATTTGTTACTAATTGAATAATAATATTATATACAAACACAATTTTCTGTTCTTATTTTACCACCTTTTAAATCATTACTAGTGAACCTGTTGCTTGAATTCAAGCAATTACGAAGTATTACAGGTGGTATTGTAAAACAAATGACAGTCATAATTTACAATGACTTTAACCCTCAGAGTGTCCCTTGTTTTGGCCTTAATGTCTACCTATTTTTTTGCTCATTTGCAAGGTTTTATTAAAACGGATCTAAGAAGCTGGAAAACAATGTTAATTATACTGTTCTATATACCATTTTGTTTGGAAAATCATGGGCTTCAATATTATACATAGAACATATGGAACATTTGTTTCAAAAAAAATTTTTGGAAAAAAAAATATATTTTGGAAAATTAAAAAAAAAAATAAGTTTGCGCTCAATGAAGTTGTATAAATTATAGGCCTATAAATATTTGAAAATATCCACTTTGTTCTAAATTTTATGAGGATTACAAATATATAATAATATAAGGAAGTAGATTTGCAAATAAATAAGTTATGGGCAAAAAACAGATTTCAGTACATAGCGTTTAGCTAAGAATGCATAGCCTAACCATAGCTAGGAATCTGGCTGATAATTTACATCAATACCACTACCTACTTCTTCAGGATCATCAACCAGCCCTTCAAAATCACTTAAATCTTCTTATAATGCACCACGTATATCACTACTTTTGATTTTTAACACTAAAACAATGATAAACGTAATAAAACACATCAGTCATCGGTCCAAGGTTAACCAAGCTGTTTACAAATACGCACGTCAGCTGTCTGCTACAATATTTTCGGAACTAAAATGAATAGCGCTTAGAGACAGACCTCCCGAGAAAGCTCTGAATCTGTCAAATAAAACGATACCTAACTCGATCCAGTTCAATCCGATTTTGTCAGTCATAGAGCCTTCGCCGTAAACAGTGGTCGCTGCAGCGACAAATAACACTCGGAGGGTTAAAGAGTCGACTCAAAGATTATAGAAATGCTCACGATGTACATAACAGCTCGATATAATCAACTATCTTATCATTTTTTTAAAGCTGACCTTGATTTTTAGTGTTTTCTACAAATGTTATTAGCATAGACTAACCAACACAAGGGAGTATGTTTTATCTATGCTATTAGGTTGTCCATAATAACGATTATAAATTTTTAAAATACATTATTTGTATTTCTATTTCTTCTTCTTGGTTGTGTTCTATGACTTTCCTATGTTTCCATAGTTTGCAAATAAGCTCTTTCAATAATTGCTCAAGAAATGCAGCACAGTGTTAATTCAGTTTTATTTTTTTCACCCAAGTTTCTGACTATATTACACGTTTTCTTAAATTGCAACTAAAATATTAACAGCAATTAAATTATCCAGCTGATCATAATGTAAACAAATATGTTCTTCATAAGGATAACAAGGGAACTTTAAAAGCCACTGGGGAAGATCAAGGGACTTTTTCATAAATGTAAGGTCAATTTGCAAATCTACACCCCTAGACCAAAATTTTGCTATATAATGTGTGGGGTTAAATCTAAAAACAAAAAAGCCTTATTGTTCACAAAGTTTCATGTAACGTATTAATTAGATAGATAGATTATGTTGTGTTACCAACCGCAACCCAGGCCCGTTTTTGACCCTGACAGCGCCCTAGGCATACAGACTAATAGTCCCTTTGCAATATATATAAACAGGGTGTCCACTGACCGGGAAATACGTGAATCATGCTGGAGTTTTTTTAACCGGAAATTATGTGTGAATTTTGTATTTTCTACCTGGTGTTTTCGATTTACCGTGATCGCGCATGACAACAGTGACGTTTCCGTGACCGCGGGAAACGATAACACACGGCCACGAGGGATGATCAGAATATTGGCACGATCACGGAAGACGATGATAATGTCCACACTACTGCGGGAAACAGCAAGAATTTTGCCGCGATCGCGGAAGACGATGATGATCTTCTCACAACTACGGGATATGATTAACATTTTGCCGCAAACGCGGGAGACGATTACCATGCATTCACGACCGCGGGAGACGGTTACGATGTCTACAGGACCGCGAGCCGTGTGGGATGATCAGAATTTGACCGCGATCGCGCAAGACGAGGATAATGTCCTCACAACCGCGGGAAAAGATCAGAATTTTGCCCCATTCGCGGTAGACGATGATAATCTCCTCACAACCGCGGGATATCCTTTGGGGGGGATATCCTTGAAATCCTTTTTAATATCGTTTCTCAAGCACTTGTCGACCTGTCACTTGAAAAAATACATCCAATATTATAAAATATAAGTAGCCAACCGAGAATATCCATAGGAAGTCCCCAGGATATCCTCACAATGCATTCGTTTGTGTTGGATAATATGTGCAATATCTTAGAGTGATCCTAGGGACATTCTCACATCCTGGGATCTATGTGGGATATGTGGGAACTGGTCAGGATCCTGTGCTGTGTAGGAAAGCTGTATTCGGTACAGTAGCATATTTCGCGAAGTAGGTATTTGAGTTATTAGTGGATCTTACAAATAAATTATGAAAAAAGGATATCGTTGATATTCTAGGGATATACCAAAGATAATCCCGTCCCTCGATCAAAAGCCCTCAAAAAAATTAAATTAATTATTGTGACGGAAATATGCCAGGAATGTCCCAGGGATATTCCTATATCTCATGGGATATTGGGATGTTTTGGGAACTCTGTGGGATATCCTGAGGATATTCTGTGCTATGTGGGGCGGTGGCACAGGAACCCAACAGCGCATGAAAAACAATTCAAGTGAAAAATGCAATGAAAAAATGTACGGCAAATGGGTCACAATGTTAACCTATTTGCCCAATCTTGGCAAGACTGTGGCAGAAATTTGTAGGGACTTTTGTACTCCAAGGAGTCAAGTGAGATTCTCATCTATATATGTAATACGCTAAGCCGATTTTTGTGAACAGAACTCCTCCCTCATTTTTAGACCGATTTTGATGATTAAAGTGTCAAAATAATTGCTCTGATCTGTAGTTTTGCAAAGTGTTTTTCGTTTTTTGATATCTTGATTAGTTTGGGCAGGATCTTCCATCAAAGTTGGGTTTTCTCCCATAAGATTTAACATAGGGGAATCTAAATATTTAATTGGAAACTTTGTCTCCACTAATTTGAGAGAACGGCTGGGTGTAGAAACTTGGTAGAGGTGTCCAAAGAAAGGTCTTGGTCTGTAGATGAGTTTTTAAAAGAAAAACAAAGTAAATTCGCTTAGGGCTCTGCCCCCGAAGCATTTAAAGGTCCCTCCACAGATTTGTTCACATTTTGGTCATGTGGATAATACTTTTAGCGAATTTCCCATATAGGGAATAAGCTATTACCGTAGTACTCATGGTAAGACCTGGACCCGGGACCGATTTTTTTTTCGTTTTGAGGTCCCTAGAGGCCAAAAATAGCATCCGTTCAAATTTATATATATATATATATATTTATATATGTGTCCGATAGCGCGATAACTCGAGCAAAAATGATCCGATTTTGATGAAATTTGGTACAAACGTGTTAACCTACGTTTATTCGAACGAGTTCGCGAACCAGCATGATCGGACCATGGGAACGGGGGTTTATGGGGGCTTTTATGGGGTAAAAATGGGTTTTTCCCATTTTTGACCAAAAAAACTTAAATTTTTGCAATTTCTTTCCAAACTATTTTGTAGAGCTTTAAAAAACAAATAATTTAGTATATTGAAGCGTTATAATGCGCCTAATGGTCACGGAGAAAATTCAAAAAAAATTTTAAATTTTAAATTCCCATGTTATTCTTATGGAGGATAAGTAAATTGTTGTAGTTTGCTTATTTATTAACATATTTTGCCCAAATTTGGAAAATGTTTTTATTTCTTACTAACTATTAACATTTTAAATAAAAAAAAAACACTTTAACCCTCACTGTTGCAGCAAACCTAAGTATGTGTTAAACTGATTCAATTTAAATAGGGAATAAATGTGATATTTTTAAGGAGACATTTTAGTGTAAATCCAATCAGGCAAATGGAAATTCGCTTAGTCTGCAGGTTTGCTGCGGTGGGGGTATTTAATAAAACAGCTGTTAATTTTAAAATTGTATTTTAAACAACACACATTTATTGGGAGTTACTGAATAGTCCAAAAGAAGTATTTGCAATGTTATTTTCTTATTTCAAAATCTATTTTCTTCTGTATCATGTCATGTGTTGCAATATAAAGTTCCATTATGTAAGTAAATCTATGTAAGTTACCCATATAATATAGTTACAAAATGCTCAAACTCGCATTGTGACATTTATAATTCGGCTTATATTTCTCCAACTGAAAATTCATCTGCAGAAGAATTTTATTGTGCTCTTACCGTTTCTAATAACATCAAAACACAGAAACCTTGCCTAAAATAGTACCTTTCCTGACAAATTATTTGCAGTGGCCTATATTATGGACCGTGGCCCACTGGGTTGGTAACATAATTGAAAATGACACGACATTTTAGCTGTAAAAATGGCCCAATGAGTTAATACTATTTAAGCAGCAACTGTTCTATTCTACTATAGTGAGCCTTGAGGCAGAATCCAGTAGCTATGACGGTGCTACTTATTGTCTCAGGTTTCAGTCCATGTTCTGTAAGAATTACTATGTCAGGTTTGGTTTCTTCTAAAAGGTGCTGTAGTCTATTTATTTTATTTGAGACTTCCTGTGTATTTTGGTGCAGCAGGATGAGTTTGGAGTTTACATCCTGACTCGATTGTCTAAAAAACAGTCAGGTTGCGTTTCTCTTGTCTCTGCTGATTTTTTCAGTTTTCTTAAAGTAAAATCAGGCTGCGTTGGAATAATCTGAGAAGGTGAGGAAAAAACAAAGTTATTATCCTGTAGCGATGCAGCCTCCCTTTTTACTAAATATCCATAATGCTTCTTCATATGTTCTGAATAAAATCCTATATTTTTTACAAAGAAATCATTGTAATCCTCGTCTTTGCTCTTTGGCTTAGTATTTAGGGGTGGAAATTTATTTTTATTTTTAGTCTCTTT